ATTTTTCGTTTGTCCCTAAAACTGTTTACTCTTCCATAGCACTTCATTTATATTTAATAGACTCACACTAAGTATCTGTTGAAAGAGTGAATGAAGATTAGCTCATTAGCTGATATTAAATACTAATCTTGGAAGCTATATATGGTTAAAAGAGAATATAAATAATAGTTTTGTAAATACATTTTGAGGTTTTGCTTGGCAGTTTCTATTTGTACTTCTTGCCAATACATTTTAAAATTTTGTTTGGGCCCTGGTAGTTACGGTTTTATTTTGGTGAGGTTGAAACAAGAGGACCAAATGATCACTAAGTACCATTCTAACTTTAAAACCATTTATTTTCAGTGAACAGAAGGGACCAGGTAAACACTTACTCTGATATAAAGTTGAAGATAATTTTCAAAGCCAATGGCAAACATTGATTCCAGTGATTAGAAACATTCTCCTCAAAACATAGAACAAGTAGAAATTGCTTAATATTACTAATACTATTCAACATCATTTTTATAAATCTAGAACTCTACTAATTAAAGCAATGAAAAATGAAGTATAAATATTGAAAGGAAAAGCTCTGTCACTATTTTGAAAGAACTTATGATTATCTACTTAGGAAGTCCAAGAAAAAAGTCATTAACATTAATGGAGGAGTTTCATAATGTAGTTGGATACAAAGCAAATATACTAAAGTCAGCAACTTTACCATAACTCAGTAATAACAAATTGAAATTATAATAGAAACAGAAGGTCTCATTTCCAATTCATATTACAGAGAAACTATAATATTTATGGGAGTAAGTCTACTGAAAATGTTCTAAAATATATATAAAGAAAACTATAAAACTTTTCTGAAAGACATAATTGGAATATTTGAATAAATAGACATCACTGTTCCCAGGTTAGAAAAATCAATATTGTGAGACTATCTTGACTCCCCGAATTAAACTAAAATTCAGTGTCTTCTCAAAGAAAATACCAGTAGGGTTGTAAAGTATAATTTGCCGTATTGTTCCCATTTTAATCTGGAAGACAAAATTGTATATCAGTAATCACAAGTATTTTCTAAAAGATTGACAGTGAAAGTCTTGTTTTACCTAATTAATGTCAAAACATACTCTAAGGATGTAGTATTAAAAACAGTATGGTATTGAGTAGAAAGAGACAAAGAGTTTAGCAGAAGAGAATAGAGATTTAAAAATTTTTAAATCTCTATTCTAGAGATTTTTTTCTAGAGAAAAAAACCAACAAAATAACAACAATGAAGACAAAAACAAAACAACACAAAAACAATAAAAAGGGTACAGTATTTCAAAACAAGATGATAGGAATTAACAATGGTTGTTATATTACATATTTTTATCTTCAGTGAAGTTCCTCAGATTACCAGATGTAAGAATGCAAGATTGATCAAAGAGAATAAAAACTAATTAAAAAATTAGAAATGATGCAGAGCTTCATTAAACAAGATGGTAGGAATTCAACAGTGGTTGTTATATTGCATATTGTTGTCTTCAAATCAGTTGTTCTTATTACCAGATATAAGCATGCAAAATTGGCCAAGAAAAAAAATTTAAGCTTTAACTGTTCCTTTTAATAAACCAGTAAACATCAGCAATACACTTATCCCAGCTACTCTTGTATATGCATACATTTTTTTTCTTTTGAAGAGAAAAGAACAAAAACAAAATAACAAAAAGACATAAAACAACATAAAGACAATAAAAATGATACAGAATTTCAAAACTAGGTGATAGGAAATTAACAATGGTTGTTATATTACATATTGTTATCTTCAAAGTGGTTACTCAGATAACCAGATATACACATGTAAGATTGATCAAACAATTACACATTAACTGTTCCTTTCAATAAAACAATAGAAATTTGTAGTACAATTACATTAGCTATCTTGTGTGTATATATACATATTTTTCCCTTCTTTTTTTTCTCTTTTCCCTCATCCCAGTTGTTCTTTCCTACTGGAGCAGTTTCTTTCCCTTTCACAATATCTATTGTACCTTTCAGATTTTATTTACTCTTTCAGGTTTTACATTAGGGAGACAATAAGATGCTTATACTGTGGGTCTGATTTATTTCACTTATGAATATGGTCTCTAGTTGCATCTGTTTACCTATAAAAGCCTCTCATTTATCTTTCTTTATAGCTGAGTAATACTCAGTGGTATAAAAATACCACAGGTTTTTTGTCCATTCCTCAGTTGATGGACATTTGGGTTGTTTCCAAGATTTAGCTATTACAAATTGTGCTGCTATAAACATGGGTGCACACATATCACTGTGGTATGACGTTTTCAGTTCTTCTGGAAAAATACTAGGCGAGAATAGCTGGGTTGAATGGGATCTCTAATCCTAGTTTACTGAGAAATCTCTAGATTGATTTCCACAGTGGTTGCACCAGTCTACACTCACCACAACAGTGGAGAAGGGTTCCTTTTCTCCCCACAGCCCGTCCAACATTTGTTATTGATTTCTTGATGATAGCCATTCTTTCTGGGGTTAGATGGAATCTCAGTGTTGTTTTAATTTGCATTTCTTGGATGACGAATGATGTTGAACATTTTCTCATGTATTTATTTGCTATTTGTGTTTCTTCATCTGAGAAGTGTATATTCATTTCAGATGCCCATTTTTGGTTTGGGTCTTTGAATTTTAGGGTCCTGATTTTTTTTAATTTTTTATATGTTCTCTAGATATGTCAGAACCTGCTGATGCTAAATGGTAAACTTTGAGCATCACCTAGTGCTCTTATAAAAGCTGTTGAATGTTGCTGCAGAATTCATACAATGGAGTTTTAATGGAAAACTTCCTGTGTGGTGACATTTCTTCTTAGAGGATGCAGGTTTTCTGCAGTTCTTGTTTTATCTCACTTCAATGTAGAATGGACCAGAGGCAAAAAGTTTCAGGACATTATGGCAGGAAAATAATAATGAGTGCTTGAACAAGGGTAGTGGCAGTAGGTGTATGTGAGGAATTAGAGCAGGAACTATAACTGTTTTTAATTGATTGTTCCCAGAAGTAAAGGAGGAGGAGGAGTTAGTGTTAGCTCACACAAAGTGTGCCAAATTCCCAGTTGCAGTAGTTAAACAGGTTTGGTATGCTGTAGCAAAGAATTGACTGTGCTTAAGGAAGCAAAGTTTGATTAGAAAACACAGGCACCTTAGTACAAATAATGGCAGTGTCGTGTAGAGGCAGAAGTTACAGATCAAGTGCATAGTAGGTCATAGCAAATATAGACATTATAAACAAACAATTGTGGTTCAGAATGTTAGACTGAGACATAGCTTTAAATTGTAGTACAAAAACAGTGGGTGCTTCTTGATTAGTGGTCACCTCTGAAATTCACTGAAGATAAGTCATGGTTCATTTGGGTCACTTATGGTCCAAGGAATCGTCTACTGAGAAAAAATAAAATTGTGGTTTCACTGCTCTGAGAGGAAGGAGAACCTCCTTAGATATATGGAGGGAATAAATGTATGGTCCTTAGGACTGGTCGGGGGATTATTGGCCATAGCTATCATTGCATTGTTCAGTTTCTCTTGTCTTGCCCATGACAGAGCCAAAAGAATTTCCCAATACATTTGGACTGTTTGAACAATTGTTATTAAAATACCACCTTGTCTTTGACATTTAAATACTATAAACTCTTTAAAAGTAAATTGATAGTATGTACAAAAAAGTTTTGTTTAAGTGTTCAGTTCTATTCTTAGGAATTAATATCAAAGAACTGTTCGCAAAAGTTTCTAAATGTTTTCAAGCCTAGTTATTATGCCATTGTTTTATAATAGTAAAAGGGTGGGCCAGGGATGTAGCTCAGTGACACAGTGCCTGCCTGGCAAGCACAAGGTCCTCAGTTTGATTCCCGGTACCAAAAGGGGGTGGAGGTATTATACAAGTTAGGAATAATTTTCTACTGTAACAGTAAAATAGGAAAATGGCCATCATATATTAATAACCATAAGAGATTATATTATTGAATAGTGTGTAAAGAGTATAATCTCATATTTTGACAAAAAGAAAACACATATGTAATTTTAAATTCTATTTCCAGATGTATACATTAACTACTAGAATATTTAGTGACACAGAAAAATGGCCTTGTATCAATTATTGAGAAGTACAAAAGAACAGTTACTGAATAGCATGTATGGTTTAATTCTATTTCTTTAGCCAAAAATAAAACAAAATTATTAGTCTATATTTTAAAATCCTATTTTCAATATATATTTTAAAATCCTATTTTCTAAATTCTATGCAATTATTATATATTTATTTTATAATTAGGGAAGCTATTAAAATAAATTTATACTTAATATAAATTTATATTTCTATTTTGTTTAGAGAGAAAATAACAGTAGGAAATTATCCACAAGGAAAGATCTTGAAACAAAAGAAGACCTCCCCTACACATACACCTTCCAATTTTAATAATTTTGACTTGATGCAAATTTCACAATGGCCATTGGTAGTTGACTATATTATAATTAGCACTTTCAGCTCTAAACACTACTGCTACATAATGTCTTCAGTAACTGTCATGAACAACTTATTTGGCTTTTAAGTTTCTTCTTTTCAGATGTTAGTGATAGACTTCTAATCAAATACATAAGCTAACATACAGTGCATAATAAATATTCAGCAAATGTAGGTGTTCTGCATAAAGATAGTACAGACTTTGTAATTTAATGTTTTCTACAGCTAAAACTCAAGAAAACTCCTTAAAAAAAATCACAAATCCTCTTAAGTACTAGTGTAAAAATCTTGAAACTTTTAATGACATTCATGGTAGGATGTTTTAAACAATTCATTTTATCCTGTGAACAGTTTCTTTTTATAAAATGATTAAGGGTATCCAGAAGACAGAATATTTTTTATTTTACACTTTTTCAGTTAGCTGGTTAATTTACTTTTAATGTAGCTAAAAGCATTTATCTTCTAGAAGGGAGCATTGTTTCGCACATCCAAATTTATTTGTCGTCTTATCTTAGGTTGCCGTTGGAAGAACAGATACTGAAGACTTAGACCTCTATGCGACATCTCGGGAGAGGCGGTTTCGTTTATTTGCCTCTGTAGAATGTGAAGGGCAGTTATTCATGACTCCGTATGATTTTATTTTGGCTGTTACAACAGATGAGCCCAAATGTAAGTATACATTTTAATTGTCTCAATAATTTTTCCAAACTCCATTCTTCTACTTTGTAAAAGTATGGAGCAGAGTACAGTTTCTAGAATAACTAACAAAGTACTGTATTTCAGAAAAGCCATGTGCTATACAATGTTACCAGACTAGTATTTCTTATAAACCTTTCCTCATCTCTCTTCTCTTCAGAAATTTTCAGTTGCACCTATTTTAACATATACCAACCTTCAGCACTATCTTAATTTTTATGTTCTTTCTAAGAAATTTATATGTTGCCTGTTAGTTTTTATACCCAGTCTAAACAGAGTAATTCAGAGGACTGGCTTTAAAATTAGCCTTGGTCAGGATTTCTACTTATATCTCTTCTGTATTTGTCTAGCTCCTACACTGGTAAATATAGGATAATTGTTTCTCACTTTTCCGTGTGTCAGAACAGTGGCTCTCAAACTCTTTGACATTAGGCACAGTCTAGTAAATCTTTTAATATCTAACTTAATAAAAGACAGTTGGATTCTCATTATGCTTTTGTATTTTATATTATATAATATATTCTTTTTCTTGAAATGTATGAATATAAGGATAGTAGGAAAGGGAAGAATATTTTAATAGCCTTTTCTGGTAATTGTGTATTCTTCCTTGATGCTGTATCACAACTCCCCTGTTAATGAGGTCTTGAAAGCCTCCAAGGTGGTGGTGAAAGAACAAGGAGTGCTAAGAGTTTCTAGCTGGCTTACCTGGACGGATGACAGTTGGAATGAGGTTTGAGGAGAAAATCGCTATTTCAGTTTTAGACATAGTGCATTTGAGATGTATAAAAGACCGGACAATTGGATTTGATTTCACTGAAAAACATATCACCAAAAATCAGTATACTGCCTAATCAGTTGTTTGATTTCCTTGTAACTGTCACATAAATACTTTAAACTAGCTTGAAACAATTATAGCCATTTTTCTCCAGAGGCAAGGATATAGCAAAACCAAACCTTAAAATAAATTCTCAATAATTTGGCAAGTTGGCCTATTTGCAGTCTACTTTTTGAGGTACTATTTCAATTAATTAATATTAATGTCTTGGGTTATTTCCTCTGGAAATCAAGGGAGAATATTCATCTGTATATGATGATAATGAAACGTGAATGGATGGAATTGCCTAAGGAAACAGTGTAGTATGAGAATGAGAATATAGATGATCAAGGACTAACCTGGAGGAACACCTACACTTTAAAAGATGAACATACAAAGGTTGATAAGGGCAAGCCTTAAAAGGAGACAGAAGAGTGTCCAGAGCTATGAGAAGAAAATCAGAAGAGTATAGAGTCAGGGAAGTCAAGGAGAATGGCCAGAAAGGTCGAGTGGAATGCTAAGAAGTCAAGTGAGATGAGGATAGAAAAATGAAGTAATATGAAAGTTATTGATGATATTTGAAATTGTTATTTCAGTGCAGTGAATTAGGCAAAGACTGTATTGTAGGGATGAGTAGAAGATGAAGAAAACAGTGAATATTAAGGACTCTTTTGAGATACTATTTGACTGCTAAACAAAAAGAACATTTAGGACCAGTGGAATTTGAGATAGAGGCTTGGTTATGCAGGATTTTAAGCCATTGATACACATTTTAAAAAATTACTTTGACTGGAGAATATGAGGATAGTCTCTAAAGTGGAGTGAACTGTGACAGAAAGAACACAAAGTCAAGAGAATATTGGTATATTCACAGCATGCACTTTGAGACTATTAGGGCAATAGTGATAGAAAAGGCTAGAAATTAAGTAAAGATCTTTTTAAAAGTAATGTGAAGGCTGTGGTAAGATTTATAGTTCCTTGAATTGATAGTCCAATGTAGATTTTAAGTATGTATTTATTAGTCAATACTATTAATATAAAAATAGTAATAGCTGCATGCAGATTCTTTGAGAATCCATGAATAAACTGTTTAAACGCAGTGAGCATTTAATGAATGTTGGTGTCTGTAGTCATCATCATCATCATCACGTGAACTTATAAGCATGATTTAAAGAATCTTTGATATAGTATTATAATGACATTCAACAGGAAGAATGATGCAGTGTATAAATATTATGGTAGTTGATTATTACTGTTTTTGAAGACTAGAAAATTTGTTTTATCACATTTAATAGCATCTAAAAGATGAATTTCCTTTGTAGAACCAAAATTAGTAATTATTTTCATATAATGTCAAGAATTAATTTAGATTAAAAAATATATCTTTTTGAAAATTTCAGAAATAAAATAGTAGTAAAAATATAATGAACATAAATCTACAGCTTAAGAAATAAAATATTTCAAGTAGAATTAAAGTCTCCCTCTCCACTTCAGTTATATTTATATATGTGGTGACTTCATATGAAATAAAGAATTTATAGTCTGAAAATCCTTTGAAGAACTTTCTTAATGGCTCTTTACTCTTTATTTTTTAAAAGCTAATAGTGTTGAACATCATACATTTCTGGCAGAATGAATATGTCTTTTGTGAATAATTTACCACGGATATCTCATAAACCCTACAAAACTGAAGAGTATGTCCAACTTCCTCTTTTGATAGTTTCTGAGCATTGCATAAGAGCATGTGCATATACTTTTGTACCATTTATTTTTCTGTATTTCTTACTGCTACATTTCAAGAGCAACATAATCATAAGTATTATTTACATTGTTAAAAGGAAATTCATTATGAAATTAATGTATTCAGTCTGCACAGTTGTTTACCTGCCAAATTCTAATTTATAGACTTGTAACTTTTATCACTTGATTACATGTTTATATAAAGTATCTTGGGTGAAGGATGTCACAACATAGGAGAGACATCTATCTCTGAAAATCAATTTACTAAATTTTAAAAATTAATTTTCTCCTTTTCAATCATAAAATGAGTTTTGTATTGCTTTAAAAAAGGCGCATAGAAAAAAAGTACCTTTTTTAAGATTTTGAATTTGATATGTTAATCATTCCAAAATAGTTTCCATCCAGTAGCATAGTTAGCATGCAGTACTTATACAGAAATAGTTCCATTGCCATGTAGAAAAATATATTGATTGTCATTGTTGAAATGTAGTAAAATATTATTTATAAGTTCTCCTAATGCAGCTATGTTACAGATATGTTGCTGGTTAATCTACTGGTACTAACCTGGAGACTGTTCTTAAGCAGGTGTTAGATATTTACATTGTTTAAATCTGAACAAAAGAAACAGCAGTATTGACTGCACATTTGTCCCAACATTCTAGGATGCATAATGTCCTAGATCTTCTTGGATATAAAGAAGAGTCAGAAAAAGGAAGTCAACCCAGATATTCCACTGAGACAGTCTTATTCCAAGATGCTTCTTTAACAGTTGTAGGGAAGAAAAATGAGAAACAGGACAACAGTTTCACTCTCACTTTATCTCCTCTACCTGTCATTTAGCCCCAAATATGATAATACAGTTATGGAAAAGTATTTACTGTTCTACTGATTATTTCTTAGTATAGACAGTTTATAGCAAACAGAAAAGCAAGCTATTAACATAAAATCATATCTTACATTCAAATCTTGAGGTTAAGAAATTTACCTTTAGGACATGAAAGTTTGGTTTTGAATTATGGTTGTAGATGGTTACTAAGTATGGATATACATTACATGGCATATTTATTATCTAATTATTTTATATTTATTTTAGTTGCTAAAACGTGGAAGTCACTTTCCAAACAGGTAAGTTAAAGCTCTTGGCATACATATGCATGCATATATATATATATATATATATACACACACACACACACACATGCGTACATACATATAAATATGTGTATTACATATATATTTTTGCAATTAAAATCAAATCATGTTATTTAAACTTGTGTCTCTGATTTATTTCATTTAACATTATGGTGTCAAGGTGCATCCATTTACCTGCAAACGTTTTGCATTTATCCTTCTTTATGGCAAAGTAGTACTGTAGCATTGTGTATAAATGCCACATTTTCTTTATTCTCTTACATGACAAACCCAAAATATGAACAGCAAAATAACAGATAGATTATAAGAAGTAAGTATATTGTATTCAAATTGGAGACACAACAAGAAATAGGAGGAGGGAGGAAAGGAAGGAAAAGGGATTAAAAGAAAATTGAAGAAAAAATGCAAATAGACCTTTTGTAAATGGGAAAGGGAATAAGAGTTGGAAGAAGCAGGAAGGGATGAGAGTAGAAGAGGACAAAAAACGAATTTACAAGTGTTAGGGACAGGTACAATCTCCCCTTGATAAATGTAATCATTATGTACTGTAAACATGTAGTAATACAAAATTAGATGGTGGTACTTTTTTTTTACCCTACATACGATCAAAATATAAAAAGATGGACAGTTTTAAGGACTGATGAAGATCAATCATAAATCTCATGTGCAAATGTAAATTCATGTGTTCTCTCTGGGAAACAATTTGGTACTAAACTTGAAGATGTACATACACTAAAACCAACAGTTTGGGGCTGGGGATTTAGCTCAGCGGCAAAGCGCCTGCCTGGCAAGCGCAAGGTCGTGAGTTCGGTTCCCGGTACAGGAGAAAAACCAAAAAAAAAAAAAAATAAATCAAAAATAAAATAAAACCAACAGTTCCATGCCTGGGTTTAAATTCCACTACAGTGCATGCACATGTACCTAGTAAGATTAAATTTGAATATATTGGGTAACCTAGTAGTTTCATACCAAAGGTATTTCTCAATACCTTGAGAAACCACTTTTTATGCAGCAGAAGTTCACAAAAATATCCATAGTTTGTTTATGATGGCCAAAAAACCCCTCATAACAGTAGGCATAGTAAATTTGGTAGATTGGTACAGTAAGTGTTATGCAACAGTGAAAACACATGCATTGTAGCAGTGCTTTATGTAGCTGAGTCTGAATAAAACATAATGGTAAACAAAAAAGTTTACAAAAACATAAAATATAATTTCATTTACATAAAGCCCAAAACTGGAAAAGTAAAACCTTATTATTTAGTGATATATTCATAGGTGGGAAAACTAAAAAATCATTAACATAAAATTTAAGACAGATTCTACTCTAGGGGAGATGTGGGAAACATCATCAGGGAGCGGCTCAAAGTGGCTTCTGTGTACTGATAATTTCCTGTTTTTGAACTGACTATTTCCAGAAGGGATTCTTCAGAGCCTATTACAAGTGTCATTTTTACTTGTGGAACTTTAGGGACATTTTCTTTAAATAGAAATAGTGCAAATATACTAGTTATCACAACTATTCCACTGCATTTTATGAAAGATCTAGCAGAATAATAGAGCTCTTTAACTTAGATTTGTAGTTGGCCGTGACCAAGTACTACAGATTAGGTGGCTTATATAGCACACGTTTGTTTTCTTACACTTTTGGAAGTAGAAATCTAAAATGCAGATATCAGCAAGTTAGTTTCTTATGAGGCCTTTCTTCTTGGTTTTCAGATGGCTGTCTTCTGCCTTTGCCTTTGCAGAGTGCTTCCTCTGTGCATATCTGTATCATAATCTCTTCTTATAAGTATACTGATCTATTGGCTTAGGGTCCATTCTGATGATCTCATATAATAACCTTAATTACCTCTCTAAGGGACCCCTTTCCAAAATAGTCAAATTATGAGGTACACATGAATTTGAATTTGAAGGGGCAGAGGACACAGTTTAGGCCATGACATACTATATGACAAAAAGTTAAAAAGGGGTTCTAAGATTTGGAATAGTAGCAGACAATATGATTAAGAGAAAAATGTAAAAATACATACATTTCAAATTTGGTCAAATTCAGTAAAAATTTTTAGCGAGATTGCTGTGGTTATAAGATCAATGAACCAAAGTTAGTAGTACACTGGCATTGTGCATCCGTACCAACAATACCAGTGGTAGCCTCGTATAAGACAAAATAATATAAGCAGCAAAAACTATTAGGGTACTTAACAGTGTCCCTAACAGAAGTGTGGAAGACATTATTAAACTTCAGTTTTATTAAGGTGAGTATCATGTTCATGAATGAAACTCTATCTCTTAATGATACTGACCTCCAAATTTATCTCTAAGTGATTACAACTATAATAAATATTCCAACAGAATTTATTTAGGATTTAACTTTTTAAATTCATTTGTATGAGTAATGGCTCCAAAATACTTAGAACAGTTTTCAAAAGGAAAGAAAAAAGTCCAGTGAGACGAGAACAAATGGCTTTGTTATACACTGAGATTAATAATAGAGCTCTAATTAAAATAATATTGTGTCATTACGATAATTTTTTTAGAAAGATCAAGATAGTAAAATATATATAATACAGAAACATATCCTGGCATGTATGGAAAATCTGTAAATCACTGTAGGAAAAAGTGACCTCTTCATAATAGTCTTGGAATAATGGACTTTCAATGTGGAAGCAAATACAATTAAACATCAATACCACCGCCATACACAAAAGCTGGTTTCACATGATTATGTTCTCATTTGTGAAAAATATTCCAAAAGACTGAAGGCAAAAAATGAGAGGTTGTTTTCTAGATGAGACATAGGCAAAACAAAATGGAAATTATTGGCATATTTTTCTAAATTAAATGTTAAAAATCTTGGCACCAAAAAGAGTGTCAGTAGCGTTAAAGATGTATCATGAATGGGAAAGTATGCTTCACCATATTATAAAACAAAGTATTAAGAATAGAGACTTACAGCCATACTGTATAGAACTCCTATAAATAAACATAAGAAATAATCAGCTCAACAAATGGACGAGTGTGGTGCAGCATACCTGCAATCCCAACATATTAGAAGCTAAGGATCAAAAGTTTGAGCCAGCCTGGGCTGTATAGTGAGTTCAAGACTGACCTAGGCTATATTACTGAAAAAAGGAAAAGAGAAAGAAAAAATGGACAAATGCAGCTACGGTAGCACATAAGTACACTTAAAAGACCTCAACATCACTAGTTACCAGGGACATACACATTAAACTAGTAATATTATATGATTTCACAGCCTCCAGATTATTAGCTTCCAGGAATCTGAAAATTCCAATAATTAGCAAGGATAATAAGGAACTAGGTGAGAAAATAAATTGGTATGTTTACTTTTTAGAGAATTTTGGCTTTTGCCAATAAAATTGAAAATGCTTATTGGAAATCCTACTTCTGTATATGTGTGCTTGAGAAATGTTTGCATATTTACACTAGGAATCCTGTTCGTGTTTCCTAAAATAGTAACTGCAATAATACAGATTTAGAAACAATATAAATGTTAGTCATTAGGGAAATGGATTGAAGTGTGAATAGACATACCAAAGGTAAATATGGTAATACAGAGTAAAACTGAGTACATATATGAGAGCAATATGTATTACTGTGACTAGACCTTCAAAATTCAGGTTGAGTAAAACAGCAGGTTGCAAAATAATACAAACTAGCAGTTCTTTAAAATGCAGAGACCTTTTCAAAGATCTAAGAAGTCAGTCATTTTCATCATTACTGAGAAGATATTTGTTTTAATTTACTCTCATTCTCTCAGGAGTGCACAGTAGAGTTTTCTAGAGGCCACAGGATGAGGAAAGATATCACTGCTCTGACAGCTAATGAGCTAATGGAATGTGTGCATGCCTAATCTTGTGAAGAATGGAAAGAACTGAATTTTAGCTATTACAGATAACTACTTTGTAGCCATTCATATGGAAGTGAAGACTATTTGATAGGAAAATAGGCCCATTATAGAGGAAGCACAAAGAGTAAATTACCAATCAGTATACAGGGAATGAGTTACTATCTGCCATCACAAAATACTCTGTACAGGTGCCTAGCTAGAGTTAGATTAAAAAAATGTTCAATAAATTTAAGTTGGACTCCTTGGGTAATAGTTTTCTGTGTTTACTAATTTTCTTGTAATGTAAATGTAATAAGTACACTACATAAATTTTTAAAAATTGTATTCACTTAAAATTATATAAATCTTTCAAAAAGCATCTCTAACTCCAGGAAGCTGAATTTAATAAATATTTATTTGTTACCTACTTACAGTACTGCAATATAATTCTAACATTAATCATCCAAAGGCATTGTCGGACTCTACCAGTTTAAGGGTATAGTGCCCAGCAAGATTGCTCTCATATCTGATGCTTCCCACAAATTCAGGGGTCTCTAGCCCAGCACACTTAGGACCTTCCTGGCTACAGATCTGGGAGTTTCCTATAACTCCTTTTAGGTTTAATAGTTTTCTAGAATGACTGGTAGAACTCAAGAAAATGTTATACTTATGATTACATTTTATTATGTAAGATACAAATTAAACCAGCCAAATAGTCAAAGGGTTAGGTCTGGGAGGCACCTGGTGAAGAGCTTCTGCGTCCTCTCACGTGAAATCAGGGTGTGTTACCCTCCCAGCACATTGGTGTGTTTGCCAACCTGAAAGCTCCACTGAGCTTAGTGTCCAGAATTTTTCTTACGGTTTTGTTACCTAGACATAGTTAATTGAGTCTGCTAAAGATTTATTTTAAATTCTTAATGCCTTCCAATTACAAAAATGAAAAACTATAAAACTCCAATTGATTTGTATAAAGCACTACTATCTGTAAAAACCCAGGATAAGCACTAAAAGTAAGATTCCCAACATAAATGGAAATGTTAAGCTTTTAATAAATTTTAAGTCCTTAAATTCAGCAGAAAATTTTAAAAACTGTCAGTTTGGTGATCTAAACCAGAGAACTAGATTATTGGTAAATAATCTGCTTGGAGTCAGTAAGGCCGTACCTCTCTCATTTACTACCTATGTGACTGTGAGTGAGGCAGATACTTAACCCACTTTCAATTTTCAGCAAAATATACATAGTAAGAATTTTTTTAAAGAAATAAAATGCAGTACTTGGTAAATCCATTGCTGATCAGTTAGAGGATACTCAGAGGTAACTGATTTTTCAGTCTTAAACTCTAGAGGAGTTTAAGCTAGAACAAATCCAGTTAGAGACATTGAAATGGGGAGAAATGCATTTTTATACAAATGAGTATATAAATTAAGTAATATAAAATGTATTCAGAATGCCTTTTAAAATCTTTTACTCCAATAAAAATACTTTTACTTTTATCTAAACAGTAAACATTCCAGCTTCTCATTATTCACATCTGAAGCCTTACCTCTACCACTGGTACCCTAAGCAGGCAGAACTCACTTGTAGCATCTGTTACCTGCAATGCAGATATAGTACCATAAAGGAAATCAATGTAAGAATCCACAAATAGGCTTGAAGGCAAAAATAAATCCCCCCAAAATGTTCCCATCTTTGACATCCTTGGGATTCCCTTATTTTTCTGCTACCATAGCTTTGTAATTAAAAAATAGTTGTTTATAAATGTCACAGAGCATTTTTATGTGCAATGTGCCAGGAAACGTTTTCTTCAAGTACTGAGGAGATTAACCAAATTACAGTTTTCATTTATTTCACAAAGTATGCACAATAAATTAAAAATTTTATGTGAACAATGAGCACCTCAAGAAATTCATGACCACCAAACCAGCATTACAAAAATTCTCGAGGATATGCTAGAAAGTGATGATTCAAATCTTTAAATCCTTTATTAAAATAGATTCCTCCTAGGTGTAATAGTTTGATTTTTTAAAAAGCTGAAGATAAGCAGCAGGTGAAGTCTGTGTTCTTTGCTGAATATTTAATTTAAAATTAGAAAAAAAATTGAAATTAGTTACAGTAGTCCAATACCCCTTTCTCCTGCTTCACCCAGTGTCTTCATTCTTTGAGTTGACATTAAAACAGTCTTCATTGCTTCCTGAAATATTCCTTTATTTCTGTCCTCTACTCAAAGCCCCTAAGTCCAGGAGTGCTATAAAGAAGAGAGCTTTCGGGGCTGGGGATTTAGCTCAGCGGCAAAGCGCCTGCCTGGCAAGTGCAAGGTCATGAGTTTGGTTCCTGGTACCGGAGAAAAACCAAAAAAAAAAAAAAAAAAGAGAGCTTTCATAGAACTATATCTTTATAACAGACCTCAGAAGTTAAAGCAGAACTTGCTGCTTTATTTTAATTTGGTTGTCTTAACTGTATAGACTTCTGGTTATGGAATTTATTTGAAATTTTAGATAGCTCTGATTTAATTTAATATAGTGTCTTCATCATTTATTTATATATGCACTGTGGACAAATACTGGCTTTTGTGTTGAATGAACTGCAGGCATAAAATAGAATAAATAATGACATTCCAGGTCTTTTAAGTGGAGAATTTTGGCATGGATATTTAATTTTTAAGTCTATCTTATAAGAAAATGGTTTACCTATTAATCAGAATTATGATATCCTCTGGCATAGGAATTGAATCAGATGCTATCAGAAACACCGCCAGTTTGGAAGGGCTCATCAAAGCTATTTCGAAATCTTAAAGAAAGAGGTAAGTTAACGTTAGCATATGCATTTTAATATTGACATTATGTTATTTATACTGTCATGTATACATATTTTCCCATATATAAAGTTATTCTAAAATTATATAAGTGTGTATCCATAGAAAAGTGCTGAAAAAATATAAAATGTGAATGATGAATGATTCTGGGTAGTAATGTTATTTTTGAGTAGTGTGATTAAGGCAATTTTACATTATTTTGTACATATATTATTCCTATCACATTTTTTACAAAAATATGAACTTCTATAGTTTTTTAAAAAAAACTCTTCAACTATAATGAAATAGAGTATAATCACCCATAAGAAGTATTTTTCAAAACTACTGGATCTTCAGTGACTATTTTTCCTCCTTCCATTTTATTTGTAGGGAATTATAGATATCCATGAATATAATCAATACAAAAACTTCTTATGTGCATCTTTTGGCAGCAAAATTTAAACATGTCTCTTTTATAGACAACACTTACTGCCAAATCCACGTGTTTCAACTTACTCTATTATTAGTGTCTGTGCATCTAATTTATAAATTCATATATTTGTTGGCACTTAGACTAGTACATGGCTTTTACTGCACTTTTCTTTCACAGTGTACTTTTTGCATCTATTTATAGAAAAATGTATTAATAAAATATCCTTGATCTTAAAATAGAATGTTTCCTCTGTGTATATTCTTGTTTATATTCTCAAATATAAGAATATACAAAGACTGAAGATTTAAAGTTATTTTTCTTTCTCATCAATGTAAACCAGTTAATATTGGTTTGAAAATATATTTGCTCTAGCATGAAGATAGATACCTTAAAGGAATTGTTACAATTCATATATTTTGTCAAAGTAGAATAAAAAGTTCATATTACTTCCAGCTGGTTCACATAGAATCCTAAAGAGACACTTTATCTTTTATCATAGATATTTCCTAACTTTGCTTTTTCAGTCTTTGAAAAACCTGTGCCAAGGTCTGTTAAGACATTCTTAGATACTTTTTCCTGGAACTTGTCTTAAAGATTGATTAATTTAAATTTAAATAGCTACACTTCACCAGTGGCCCACTGTATAGTTGGCATCTGTATCATCCTGATCAAATTATGAAGGCAACCAGTGATCCCATTGGAACCCTTAGATTCCTGTAGGCTAATGAAGTAGAGAAATACAGATTTCTAGCTTTTAAATAGAGGTTAAGTGGCAGGATAATTTTGAAGCTAAGTCTTTAGAACTATTAAAGGTTAATTTTAAAATGAAGAAATTTGTTTGAAACATTACCCAGAAAGAAACTGTTATGCAGTTTTAAAAATAATTGATAATGTAACACTTATGAAAACATGTCACATAGATTTAATTATCACAGCCAGCTGTAATGTATCATGATAGAGGAATTAATGTAATACTTTTAAAGACCTTCCCTTAAAATTTTTTACTGAATTTTAAAAGAAACCTAGCTCACGTTTCTCTTACCTTCTTTCTAAAGATTGCATGCAGCTCAGTATTCATTTAATTTAGTAATCATTTTAATTTTAGTATTCATTTAAATTTTTCTTTGATCTTAACTAACCTTAAATCACTTGGAGTTTTATAGTTTTTCATTTTTGTAATTGGAAGGCATTAAGAATTTTAAATTCGTCTTCAGCAGTATTTTCTCTTTTCTTTTACCATTGTTATTATGTCATGAGTTTCACTTTATTCTCCTTCCCTGTGGATTAAGCCACTACTTCAAGCATGTAGTCCTACAGATAAATGTCTACCATGATAATTACGATCAAGACTGTCACTCTTAAGTAACCACCCTCACTTGAGGGAAATCTTGAGTTAATTACCAAGTAAAATTGTACAGCAGTTATTAAAATTCTTTATACTAACCTGCAACTCTTGTGTATTCTATCAGATGAATTAGAGCACATCAGTGACATGGGATTGTGGAGGCAGCAAGGTCATTTTCCAGTCCTATTTCCCTTTTGTCCTTTTGCATTTATGCTTTTCTTTTCCTTTTGAGGGATCCCTATGGAATCTAAGTATTGTATCCTTATATACATTGACCATTTCAGAATCTTTCTCCCATAACATTCATGGCGATCAACCAGAACTGTCTGTCTATAGGTCACAATATTCTAGTATAAACAAAAGAAGAGAATGCTTTCAAAGCTTCCTGGCTAGTTCCCTTCATGTCTCTGACAAAGTGCCAGACAGTGGTTCTTCTCTTTGTTCTGTAACAAATAGGGTAGCCTCAAAGAACATCAGATAAAATAGAGATTTAATGTTCACAGTATGATTATTTAAGGATTTTTATACCCTTTTACCAAACATCAAATTATGCTACCTAGATAAGTATTATAGACTTATTCCTAATTTTAATTATCTCTGTATCTCCTTGGATGTGTCAATAAAGCCATTAATTCTAGTTTTGGGTATTACAGTACAAAGGCAAGAATTTAAGTAACAGGATGTATATTTTTATTTACTTCAACAAATTTCCTTTTAAAGTTTGTAATTACAGATTTATAGAGAACTCAGGGTACGTATATTATAATCCATTCAATTGATATATAAACTTCTTAAGATTACATTTAATAGAAGCATTGTTTGTCAGAATAATAAATGATAATTTGACAGCAGAAGACTGGTGAATATAAACTAAGTCAATACAAAATCAAATTTCTAAGCAAGAATATCTAAATATTTTATTCAACTGTTAATATGTAATTAAGTTTTTTTAGCATTTACCATTTCTGACCATTGTATGCAGATTCATGCATAAGAAACTAGCAACAAGTTGAAAAGGTATAACTATAACTAAACATTTTAATTTTGATTCCTTGCCAATATATTTGAGAACATTAATGAGGATTTTGTATGGGGCTCTACAGTAGCATATGGAACAATGAAAGTAAAATTAATTTTCTGCTTTTATGGTGTTTTATACTGCTAATTTAGTGTCATTTAAAACAATATTTAGCATCTACTTTACAACTATAAACTATCCATAGTGTTTGTTTTTACTTTGATACATATAAAATAATATTTCATATAGCATAATTGGTACTGTTTTTTCTTCCAGGTGTGATTTCTTATACAGAATATCTTTTTCTTTTATGTATTTTAACAAGTGAGTATACTCATTAAACCTACTTGTTGATGCAGGTTTTTTTAACCTGAATCTTGTAACACAGATCTTTCTTAGCTTATTTTACTATTGAACATAGCTTTAGATATATGTTCATTGTATTATAAAAATAATACCTAAATGATACAGAAAAATGCTAAGTATAGCACTATCAAGAGTCAGGAACAAATATTTTGGGTGTGGTATAGTAATAAAATACTTATAAATTTAATATTATATGCCTATTTTTATTTTTAATCTACATGACACTCCCAAAGGTCAGGGCATATAAGTAGTGTTTCTGTGCACTCATTTGAGAAAGATTTCTCTGCCAGACTAATGAGAGAATGAATCTTGAGTCTCAAGATTGGCATGTCTATCAGAATACCCATCATCCACACCGGAAAGCACTTTGTTACTTTTTTCTTCTCGTGAAATATATGCAGGGTTACTGGTGTCCATTTCAGAAATACTTCTTTGCTTTTGTTTGGGGAAAGTGTATGCTGTAGCGCTGTTTACTCTGCTCCAGCCACCTGGCCTTTCTGTTCCTTGAATTCTCACTTCACAGATTGAGAGTTTCTGCTTTTTCTGCCATCAGTGCTTTCCTGGAGATCGTCATGAGAAAAAACGCTGTTCAAATTTGTGTCAGATGTGAAGATTTAGAGGATTGTTTCTTGACCTTTCTAAAATAGCTCCTCCTCCCATCTCTATCTTTTTTTACCCTTTTTCTTCCTAGCACTTAAGTTAAAGTATTATTGGCTTACATGCCCTTGTCTGTCTCTCTTCCCAGGAGTACAGACTCCATAGTGGCAAAAATAAGTATTTTATGCATATCTTAGCAAAGAGAGTGTCTTACATATAGTATACTCTCAAAAAATAGTTGATGAAGGAAGAATGAAATGAATGAGGGAATAGACTATTGCCCTTGGAATTTCCAATTGTGAGGATTTGTGGAAGCATGTGGAAATAAGAATATCAATAAAATTGTCATTAGAAACAAGTTTTAAAATACATTGTACTTACATGATTAGAAAATTTACACCACTATACTATTCTTTAATTAGTAAAGGATGATATTACATCGAGTTCTATGGTAGGAGATTTTATGGCGGAGAAAAGAGAATGTGTTCCAAGCACAAATGTGCTTCAAAATTAGTGTAAGTGTTGCAGAAGCGAGCACATTTTCCAAAATTATATTCCTTTATTTTTGTGTATTTTTACTGGGACTCAAAATGAAAATAAAACATTAGTGCTGAAGAACAAGTACTGTGCAGTTTGTAGGGCCACCTGAGGTTGTTCCAGTCTGGAAATAGTGATGATACAATCCAATCCATAGTGAATACCATCAAGAAAACTAGAGTGGGTGCCAAGGAGAGTCTCAGGCATGTATTGAAAAATAGTCTTACTAGCCAGAACAACAGTGAATGCAAAATTAGTAGTAATACATACTCAAAGTGAAAGATAAAAATGAGAATAGTGCTGGTGAGGAGAGGTACTTGTTGAGAGGGGACAGGTGGGTTTTCTTACTAGTACCTTTGGATACAATGAAGCTTTCTTTGAAGTTCAGGGCACATGTGTAGAAGCTCTGAAGAGTTTGGAAAAATTATGGCATGTTGTTTAGAGTACAGCTAAGAAAAATGTGAAAAGAGCACTGGGAGGAAGTGGGCTACACAATCTACAGTGCATGTATGTGTTTTCTCTTTATCTTTTACTCTTTTCCCTTCAAATCATTGTTTATAAGAACTGCTGTTCTTTGTATGTTTTCAAGATCTTTTTAAAGTGTAAACTTGGCCATCAGAAATGGTATAAATTTTTATTAATTTCTCAAGTGAGTAATAATGAAAGTAAGGTTAGATTTCTAAAATACATGGAAGAAACGAGCTGACATGAAGGACTGACTTCTGTCAGTTTCAAAGCTAGCTATTCCCAGGGAAGAAAGTAGGGATCTGCTTCTCTTTTTTTCAGGTTCAACATTTCATAACAGGTAATATCAGTGTATCTAGGGGGATCTGTTTTTAAAACTGCTTGTCATCTCAAAAGGAAAGGTCAAATATTTTGAGAAAGGTATGTGCGGTGAGTTCCTCTTAAAGGACACGTCCACATTTTCCTCATTCCCAGGTTTTCTGCTCTATGCTTTAGAATTGAAAAAAAGGAAGGAGTGATCCTCGCTATATATAAGGTTCTTAAAAGTAAAGCAATTTGGAGTATGTGAAAGTTTTTCTCAAAAAATCATTTGTTCCATATTTTTGAGGAATTGGGAAATACATATTCAAACTTCTTTTATTTTGTATATGTTTTTGAAGTCTAAAAGTTTAAACCCGAGTCTGTAATTTCTTAGACTTGCTGTTTATTTCTATATGTCATTTCAGTTATAATTGTCTGAAGAATGAAAGAACTGGTTTATTGTGTCATATTTTTTAAATACTTCAAGTGTAATAAGCTGATATTTTCCTTTTTAACAAATTAATAGGCTTTTGATATTCTTATAAGGACAATTAATTTTCTTCCTGTGAGTGCTATGTGGGATCACATAAGGACTTCTAAAGCATCTTACTTGGCTGTGGGTGTAGCTCAGTGGTAGAATGCTTGCCTAGCATGTGGCAGGCCCTGAGTTCAATCCCAGCTCCACAAAATTAAGACAAAAATAAAATAAAGTATATTATTGATTCTGTTATTAAGTCTGCTAATACATAAAGCAGAAATATGTATCTTCCTATAAAGCTTTTTAAATATGTAATAGTAACATGTTGCTTTGAATTTCTTAGTTTAAAAAAGTATTCCTACACAGCTTATGTTTACAACTAGTATAGTTTTAAAATATATTTTTCTATTTCATGAATACTTTTTTATTTTTTTATGACAGAGCCACATGCAGGCTTTAGAATAGCTTTCAACATGTTTGACACTGATGGCAATGAGATGGTGGATAAAAAGGAGTTTTTGGTGGTATGTACATTGTATGCTACATTTTCAATAAACACTTCTCACTTATATTTTATGGTTTTGCGTTATTAAGAATACTACAATACAGAAAAGTAAAAAATTTATGCTTTCACCATAATTTAATAAAAAGTTAAATACTCATGTACTTGGAATAATGTTTACATTACAAAGATACAAATTCTATTTAGTATATAAAGATTATTATGGTTGTTTTTGTACTATCTGGAAGTTTGCACTGTATTGTATATTTTCTGTTGGATGGATATCAGGCAGTCTCTAGCTTATATTTTAGTTACTATTGAGTCTCCGTCATACTTTTCCTGGCATTGCCTTGTAAAGTATTCTTATCTTGGGCTTACTTCCCTGTTCCCTCCCATTGTCTTTGACAGTTCTAAGATATTTTCTTTCAGTATTCACGTCTTACTAGTCCCGCCTTGGAATTGTCTGACAACATCTTCAGCTGGTCATTTATCTTCTTGTTTCCCCTTCCAGAATTTTTTTCTCTTTTTACCTCTGTATCCCATATCTGTTTCTGTGGCAAAAATGCCAATTCCTTTTTTGTTCTAAATTATAAATTAATGTTAATGTGTTCCTTAGAGTAACAAGATCTGCCCTTAACATTTATGTTCAACTGTCTTTGTCTGTATTCTGTTAGTTAAAAGAAAAGGGAAGGACAACATCTGTAGCCATTTTGTTTTCTCTTTTTCCTTTGTAACCGCCATTAAAAATCTCAAAAAATCTTTTAAGGAGCTCCAAATTTTCATCAGTGGTGGAACACAGAAGAAACGTATGAAATTATTGTTTTCGTTGGTAGGAAGAAATAAAAATCTTCATCAAAGGTTAGCATTTGGCCTTTCAAAAGGAAACAAACAGACTAATTATTGGGATTTATCAAAAAGTTTAAACTGACCCTCATGTAACCCTTGCCCTGATGAAATCCCTAAGCCCAAAGCCACTGAAACTGGAACCTTCATTCTGAACTTTATAAATAGTGGGAATGTTGGGGCTTTCGCTTTCACTGCAGTACACGGACATACGTTCTTACCATCCCAACATAGACAAGTTTAATTTAACATAGTTATGCTTTGATAGCACACAACTATATTTTAGAAACTTTCAGAAAAAGCCTACTTATCCAAATAATTTTGAAAAAGAATTGTGTGTCAAGATTGCCAAGTCCTATCCCGCTGACATAAAGATGAAGTTTTGGAGAACCTAATCCCTTCAGAGCTGCTCAGGTCGCCTGGTGTCTTTGGTGGCCTACACCTATAAATCCAGCTACTCAGGAGATGAGGCGGAAGGATTGTAAATTGGAGACCACCCTGGACAATGTAGCAAGAGCCTATCTCAAAAATTAAGAACTAACAATTTTTCAACATTTTTAAAAGCTGTTTATATAGATGTCCTTTGAAATATAGTCTGTGGAGTTGAGAGATAAAATCATTTACACTGACCTCCTATTCTTTTCCACTCTACACTCTTGCAAAAACCTATCCTTGCTTTCAAGCTGTGGTCTAATCTTTTCAGGTGTTGTTCTGCTGCCTTGTAAGTGATATTTGCTTGCTTGTTTGCTAATAGCTCCTAAAATAGAAGGTGGAATTTGGCTAAGTTATTTGTAGAAGTAACATTAATCTTGGGAAGATTAATGGATCTCAAAATGTATCTCAAAGTGGATACACCTTGAGACCATAATATTCAGTAAAAGCAGACACACAAGTTTAAATATTGCATAGTTTCTCTTATGTCAGAAACCTAAGAGATAAAGAACAAAATAAAATAGAAAATAAGATAATCTTATATAAATGGGAAGAGAACAAAGAAATGAAGGGAGTGTTCAGGGAGGGGAGGAGAAATGGATGAAAAGAGTGTTGTGTACATGTACCAATACTTCACGAGGAATGTAACCATTATGTACTGCAAACATGCACTAATAAAAAAAATTTAAAAAGCAATGAGCTTTCCAGAAACTGATAAAGAGGTGAGATTAGGCTTTCATTTTTAAATTGTAGGGTTTAAAGAAAATACCACTACTAATAATAATTAACATACAATGAGAACTTCCTGTGAAGCAGGAAATGTGCTAAGTACTTTTAATATTTATTGCACACAACATTTATTAAGGTGAGGAATTATCTCCATGTCCCAGATAAAGAAAACAAACCTTAATTAAAGGAACTTGCCTGAGGATTTATACCTGCAGAGCCTATTCTCCACCACCATGACTGGGGAAACTCTGGATGGCATCTAGTCGGTCCTCATTTCGTACCTGAGCAAGTTGGAGCCCAGTGAGGGTTGAATGGCCTGTCTACTATAATAAAATGAATGTGTGACAGAAGCTGGACTCAGACTGAGTTCTTTAGTGTTATCCCAAAGTTCAAATAGGCTTTATCTCCATTTCTGAGTGGGCCTCAGACTGCATGTCTGCCTTTATTAGCAATGAGGTAAAACTATAGCATTAAACATATTTAACTTAACTATGGGTTACCATTGGTAAAAATGTTTCTTCTCTCTCCTGGGAGAAATATTGAACAAAAAATATATATCATGTAGTTTAAAAGTTCTTAATTGATTAAATTGTTTTCTTTGTGTTGGGAATATACCTGGTGCAGGGTGGTAATTAGTGCCTTGAAAATCTTGTTGGAGTTAACTTCTAGATTAATCTCTTTACAGCTTCAAGAGATATTCAGGAAAAAAAATGAAAAGAGAGAGACTAAAGGAGATGAAGAAAAGCGTGCAATGTTGGTAAGAAATACTTTATAGTAGTTTCAGGTGGGTTTTCCAGGTGCGAATTATTTTCTTCATGATGAGATGCATTAATTAATTACATTAAATTTAAATTAAAATTTAGAACATTGGAAGTGTCTCTTGAAAATATTCTAAAATTCTGTAGAAAATTGCTTCAGTATTTATATGCGTCAATATCAATATTTGTGTTAAATATTGATATTAAATATCTGTACCCATAATCACATTCATTAAATCATTTTCATCCACATTTTTGTTATCTGTGAGATTCGAAGGGTATATCTTGTAGTAGATTAATACAGATCATTATGCATGCAAAAATTTAAAGGTGAATTGCAAAGATTTAATTATATGAGCAAATTTAATTTTGATATTATAATATGAATGTTGAAGCAAATACAAGGAAATAATATGTTGTTTTGCATTCTTAGAAATATAGATTCTTCTGTGATCCATAATATCTTTCTCTTATTGTGAAGATAGAGTTAACATTTGCTCCCATCCTCCTATCAGTTTTCTTTTTTTTGTCACAAACAAAAAACCAACAGCAGGCAGATTCATGTATTAAAAACAGCAAATGAGTTCTAAAACCTTACTGTTAGGCTTTATACTTGATGCTCTGCATGCATTTCCTCATTTCATCTACCTGGCATTTCTCTTATTGTCCATTGTGATAGATGAGGAGATTAATAAATGGAAAGGTTAAGTGTCTTATCCAAAGTTGTGTAGCTATTAAATGACAAGTCAATATTTGAAGCCATGTCTGACCCTCTTCAAAACCTGTACTTTTATCCACCGTACCATATTTCTTCATCTGCTGACACTGATACCAGAAATAATAGTCAGTTTTGTTAGCATGTGAACAATATTAGTTTTATGTCCAAATTATTAACTGCACGGTAGTTTAAACTGTCCTACATAAAATTAAAATAGCCAACTTCATTTTTAATAATTCTCTTATTTATTAGATTTTTAAAACATGGATTATCTTATCTATGTAATGCATTTTTAGTCCCAGTATATTTATGAAATACATGTTTATGTCTAGTTTAAGTAAAGCAGGTTATCAGGATTATGAAATACATACTACACTATAGGCTATTTTATGATCATATAATTATCAGTAGTTGATGAAACTCCCCCAGTACAGTATTGACAGAGCTTGCAGATGTGTCTTTAAAAAACTCACAGTTGATAATAATGTTAACAAAGTATTTAAAAGGGCACTAGTAGTTCTCTACTTAATTCAGTTCTCTACTTAATTTTAGAATTTAAAAATTGTGATTAATAAACCATATGAATAGCTTATAAATGCAGCTGTTTGGAGTATTAGCAAAAAGGCTAGAAAATTAAATACCTTCTTAATATTTTTTCCTATACATAATATATTGGAAGAATAAGTGGTTATTCTAATTTTGATAGGTAACCTGTAACCATAATTAACTGATAGACAAGTTATTAATGATGTATCACTTGAGGTTGAATTACATTAATGATTCTGCTAATATACCTTAGTAAATAATATTTCAGTGGATAGAAATATAACTGTTATTTGTTATTGTACTTCTGGAGAGAATTTATATATCTTCTAGTAAAAATACAATGATGGTACTATGTCAAGTAAAAAAGGGAAAAAGCTAGGAGAAAAACGATAGCCAATGCACACTAGGAAAAACTACAGTGTCAGCATGAACTCTGTTCTTAACTTCATTGTAGCCAATGTGAAAGAAATTTAATGTAAATATTTTATAATTGTGATGTATAATCCCACTAACTTGAATTAACTAGAGGATTTCTATCTGAATCTAAATTACACGACCATACCCTATCTTGTGTTGTGTTATATGTGTATCGGTCCGTGAAGCATCCCCTAGCAAATATATAAGAAAGGAAACTTAATTTTAAAGAACAGAGAAAATAATATAGAACTTGCATATGTGTAGAGAAATGGCTTTTAAAGTCATGGATCTCCACAGGTACCTCAGAGGACTTTATCCTATACCATAATTCAAGTATTGCTCCTGAAATCTCACATAAATTGGCTGTTAGAACTATTCTTAAAACACTTCAGAATAAATCTGTAACTCATCTCTGATTGATAGCACTCAACAATACAGCTCTCATTACTGTGTTTAATAATGATAATTAGTTTTAACTTGATAGTCACATTATAAACAATGCAAATGTAAACTAAAATATTATTTTATAATATTTTAGCTATCAGGAATTGTATAGAATGGAAAGTGACATTGTCAAAGTGCTAGAAATGACAATATGATTGATAGCTTCTTAAAATGTTTTGGTTAAATTTTAAAGCAAGTATAACTTAGCTTATTATAAAAATATATGGATTGCATCAAAGACACAGCATAACAGGCTTAGAAGCCATATTTGAGGGGTTTGAATATCAGCCCTGCCACTCTAGTTACCTTTGTAATTTTGAACGACATCATTAACTCCTCTGTGCCTTAGGTTTTTCATTTGTACAATTGGAGTAACAGGAGTAACGATTACATGCAATTTTTATGGGGGCTAAATTAACTAACACACAGCCACTAAACAGTATGCAAAATATAATGAACATTCAAAAAGGTTAGCTAATAGTAAAATGTAATGGCACCACATAGATACTTTACTATACCCAAATCAAAACTAATCCAGACTAAATTTAGAAATGCTTGCATATCAAAACAAAGCTATGCTTCAGAAGGAGTAAAGTAAATGTAACATTTCTTGGGGCACTTATGTGCTAGGCACTGAATTGTGTCCATAATAAATGTTACTCCGTTTAGTCCTCATTATGGTTTTTCCAGGTAAGTGTTACATCTGTTTTGCAAATTAGAAAACAATCAGAGGCTAGCTTGTCCAGTGTCATAGCAGTGGTAATAGCAGAACAGGCCTCCAGAGCAGGTGTTTCATATTATTTCCACACTCATGCTGCTGTATCTGGAGTTTCCCCATCGCATGCAGAATTACTGAAACCTGTCTAAATAAAGCTGCATATTTAAGAAAACATGTTTTACTCAAAGCAGTAGCGCTATCAGAAGGTTGCAATGAAATGGTTAAAATGAGCACAAATTCATCTGTCTAATTACATGAATTTAAAAAACTTTGCTACTCATCTTTAACATTTATCCCACTTGTATGTGCTCTATGAAGAATGTAGCATAATGATTTGCCCTTCCTAATTGATTATTTTGTCGTCTTTTCTTTTTTCTTTTCCTGTACTTGGGTTCATTCTGAAATGTGAAACTTCATTTGGCCCTTTGTGCTCTATGTCAGCGTCTTCAACTTTATGGATACCATTCTCCTACTAATAGTGTATGTACAATACTTTAAATGTTCTTTATGTATTTATCCCATACCTGTTATATTTGACAATGTTATTTTTCTTTATAAAGTTCTATTATTCAAAATATTTTGGAATTTATTACAGTATGGTACAATCAATTCAAAATTTGATATCTTCCTAAATTTATGAGACTAAAATATACAGAACAATTGTATATCTTTATTAACTGTATATCCTTTACTTATAATAAAGGAAAGGAAGCCAGGTGTAGTGGTGCATGCCTGTAGTCCCAGCACTTAGGAGGCCAAGGCAGGAGGATCGTCATGAGTTCAAGGCCAGCCTGGGCTACATAGTGAGTTCATGGCCAGCCTGCAATACTCAGCAAGACCCTGCCTTGAAAAAAAAAAAAAAATAACAGCAATAATAATAAAGTAAAAGGAGTGAAGACACACAATGAAAAACTGGTAGAATAATTAAAGATTTTGATTTGTCAGCAGTATTTGAGGAGTTCTGTAATAAATAATAGAGCAGGAGATAGGCTATGCTCCTGCTGAGCACAGGTATTTAAAATGTAGATCTGTTTATCTGATATGTAGTCTTGAGGTCTAATAAAGTATATTAGTAGTCAATATTAGTTTTCAGTTTTTCTCACAAATTTTTAAAACCCTGTTACCTGCCTCTATAAAAAAAAAACATATTTGTATAAGATGCTATTTGGTAGGTATAATATAGCAGAGTATTGTGTCATTTCTCAAAGAAAACTATGCTTTTCAGATTCTCCCTGTCTTGAAAAATTTGGGAATTCCTATAAATGAACTGATCTTTCATGTTTCATTTCTCTTCAGCAAGTCAGAGCTTGTCCTTAACACATCTTAAAGTAACTCAGAGTAGACTATAGCCCTTTATAAATATAAACATGCACAGTTCACTTAACTTCCCAGATTATTCAGCCATTTTAAAGGATCCCTCAAACTAGAGATTCCACCTTAGGGACCCTGAAGATTTTAACTATGACAGTTTTCCTTTTTTCTTTAATCTCATAAATAATTTTCATAGAGGATGATTATGTGTTTTTTAAAAATTTCAGTAATACCACTGCTAAAGGGAAACAAACTCTAATATAGCTCCATTACACAAATTCTATACACTATTATACAAATTGTAGTCACTCAGCCATTAAGAGAATCACACTGAGAAGCCAACTTAGTTGCCTAGTATTTCATTTATATTATGCTTGTTCATAGGAAAATATACTTATGATTTTACATTTTATCAAGTAACATTTTGCTTTTTATAATTTCACTGAAGACAGATTTTTTTCTCTGTTAAAAATGCACATATTAAAGCATATAACTTGACAGCATTTTTATCCATAGACCTAAATGAATTAAGTGATTTTTAAACTCCTTTAGGAGTTTAGTTGGTTTTTATAAACTTTCTTCCTATAATAAAAACATTTTTATTCAAAAAGGAATACTTTCAGAAGCTACAAGCTAACAAAAAATTTTGTTTAAAAATTTTTAAAAATTCAAACCTATCAGTATATATAAAATACCATTGATAGGGCGAGTGATACAAGTACCTGCCTGGAAAGCACAAGGGCCTGAGTTTGATTCCTGGTACACCACCACCCCCACCCCCCGAAAAAAAATACATAAGCCATTGATATATTATAAAAATATCATGTTATAGTGTTATTAACTGCAAGTTTCCAGAGTTACAGATTAACTTAAGTGATTATATAATTGGACCGAATATAATCAAAAGAGATTTAAAATAACTACTTTCTAGCTTTAGGACAAAGTTTCTTCAGGAAAAAAATGTAGTCATCTTGTTTGTTGGGGTTTTTTTTGTTGCATAGAAAAAAGATGAAACAAAATTTCAACAAAATAATGGAATAGCAACAGTTAATACATTCCATGTTGTTATCTTCAAAGTAGGTGCTCAGGGTACAAGATATGGGCATAAAAATTTCTTCAGTTGATGTTAACACAAACCTTCCTTTCCAGTGAATGAAGAGACATTAAAAGTACAACTGACTTGCATATTTTCCCTTTGCCCTATGGTCCTGTCCCCTTTCACCCATCCTAGTTCCTTTTTCCTTTGAACAATTTCTTCCCCTTTCACAATATTTATTGCACATTTTAGATATTATTTGCACTTTCAAATTCTCACTCAAGGAAGACAATCCAATATTTTCACATGTGTCTGATTTATTTCACTTATGAGTGTGGTCTTACATTGCATCTATTCACATATAAACTCTCGACTTTATCTTTCTTTATGGCTGAGTAGTACTTCATTGTATAAAAATAACACATCTTTTTAATCCATTCCAGAGTTGATGGGCATTTGGCTTGTTTCCATGATTTAGCTATTACAAATTGTGCTGCTATAAACATGGGTGCACATATATCGCTATAGTAAAATGTTTTTAATTCTTCTGGAAGAGACCCAGAAGGGAAAGAGCTAGTTTTTTGAGAAATTTCCACACTGATTTCCACAGTGATTGTACCAGTCTACACTCCCACCAGCAGTGGAGAAGGGTTCCTTTTTCCCCACAGCCCCTCGAGCATCTGTTTTTGGTTAATTTATTGATGGAAGTCATTCTTTCTGGGGTGAGATGGAATCTCAGTGTTGTTTTAATTTGTATTTCTTGGTGATGTTGACCAGTGATGTTGAACCTTTTTTCATATATTTATTTGCCATTTGTATTTCTTCATCTGAGAAGTGTGTATTCATCTCAGATGCACACTTTTGGATTGGGTCTTTGAATTTGGGAAGGTTAATTTTTTCAATTTTTTATATGTTCTAGGTAGAAGTCCTTTGAGGGGCAATTGGCTGAAATTTTTTCCCACTATGTGGGTTGCATTTTCATTTTGTTGGTGATTTCTTTTGATGTACAAAACCATTTTAATAAGATAAGATCCCAGTTGTTCATGCTTTGAAATATTTCTCATGCAGTCTGGGTTTTGTTCATGAGCTGTCAACCTATGTCTTCAAGATTTCTACCTATTTTCTCTTCAGTGTATTTAGTGTTTCTGTTTTTATATTATATCCTTGATACATTTTGACTTTAGTTTACTGCATAGTGACAGACATGGGTCTAGTTTTAGTCTTCAGCATGTACAGAGCCAGTTTTTCCAGTAACATTTATTAAATAGGCTTTCTTCCAGTGAACATGTTTTCTCCCTTTGTCAAAGATTCGGTAGCTTAATGTGTTTGTAGTTGTATCTGCGTTTTCTAATCTCTTCCACTGATTCTCAGGTCTGTGTTTTTTTTTTTCCAGTACCATGCTGCTTTTATTATAATAGCTTTGTAGTATAATTTCAAGTCACAGATTGTAATGCTTCCTGCCTTGACTTCACTGCCCAGGATAACCTTTGCCATTCTAGGTCTCCTCTGGTTCCAGATGAATTTTAGTAATGCTTTCTCTAATTCTGTGAGATGTTCAGGTGGTATTTTGATAGGGATTGCATTAAATCTTTATAACAATTCTGGGAGTATGGCCATTTTCACTATGTTGGTTCTTCCTATCCATGAGCAAAGAATATCTTTCCATTTTCTAACATCCTCTTTGATTTCCTTTTTTCGGAGTACTGTGATTTTCAATACATAGATCCTTTACTTCCTTTCTTGGATTGATTCCTAAGTTTTTTGGGTGCTGTTGTAAAGGGTGTTGATTCTGTATTTTCTTTCTCAGTGAGTTTCTTGTTTGTGTACAGGAATGCTATTGATTTTTGAGTGTTGACTTTGTATCCAGTTATGCTATGGGTTATTAAATGTAGAAATCTTTTGGTGGAGTTTTT